AATAATGAGTCATTTTCACAGATTTTTTTTGGGAGTTACACACTCGGCTAACGTGCTGTCTCATCACTGAATCAAAAGACGCAATCATCTCGACAGCTTTTAGAAAATTTCCATTATCATGTTCGAAAAGTAATTTAGACGAACCTTGAAATGCCAAGCATTGTGAAGATAAATACTTAACAATCGCAATAATTCTTTCCAACACATCGCGCCAATATTTTTTTTCCGTTTCTAAAATCCGCAGGTGATGAGCATTAACAGTCGTAGATGTCTCCAACATTTTCTTTAAATTTACCCAAGTGTTCATATAACGATTGTGTAGAATTGACGATTCGTGTCTCTTCATTAGCAAAGACAAGTGTTGCCAATCAGATACTCCATTTGTATCACAAAAACTGTTAGGAGTTTTACAAAACAACTTACAACAAAAACAAAATACAGCATCTTTAGGAATAGAGTAAACAAGCCAAGTCCTTTCGACTTTTTCTCCATTTTCTAGATTTCTTACAAAGTATTTGCACGAAAACTTTCTCTTATCTTTATTACTAGGAAAGCTAAAACTGATGTCTATCAAGGGCGGACCACGTTTAACCAATATTGTAGCTATCTCATTGGTGATTCTTTCAGGCCACAAACCGGGGTCGGACGGAATTATATGGACACTAGCACTAGCCTCATTAAAGCCTTCATCGAAAATGTCACTTACAACAGGTATTTCGGTAGCTGAAGCTGACATTACCGAACTTTTTACACAAGCTGAATTACCTGAAGTGGATTGTTCAAGTGCTGTAGACGAATATGGTGTCATCGCTTCATCGGGCCCTGCATCAGTAGAAGCTGTTTTGCTGCTACAACCGCCGCCACTTGTTGCAGGACCTGATGTTTCCGTGGTCGCCTCTGTTGAAATTTCAGAAGGTCCACTCACGGTTACTGATATCTCGGATTCAGAATCTTGAGTTTCAGGCGCATCGATAATCTCCATGGAATGTTCATTGGTTTGCAAGAAGTGCTTCAAAGATCCAGCCATTTTTTCCCTTTCTTGTAGTCTCAGTTTCTTTTGCTCGCGAAACTTCGCACCTGAAGGTCTCTTTCTTTTATCCTGAAAATAATTAGTATTCAGTACTCATGGGAATTAGGAATTCTAAAGTAATCATATTTCAATTAATAAAAAGATATTCGAGTAAAAAAAATTAATTACACAACCAGTATCCTATAGAGGGTTAAGTTTGATACGTTGATAGTATAAGGTAAAGGAGGCAACACTTACCATTTTATGAAAAATCAAACCGTTGAAATTGCAGTCAGCAGGTATACAGCACTTAATTTTTTAGAAAAAAAAGTAGTAAAAAAATATTATACAACACAACACTTGACAAAATAAAAATACGATGTAAAAATTAATACGATTATTAGGTTTTTTTGCACTTTTGCCCGGTCGGGTCGGTCCAGTAAACTAACCGTTTCAAAGACGCCTCTGGCGATGCATCGCCTTTATAGCGCTACAGGCATTATCATGTCCGAACAGGAAAAATCGAGAAAACACCGCCTGACATGTTCTCGCAAGATAAGAATCGGCAGTAACTGGATAATATACTAATAAAATTTTGTGTGTATGTGTATTTATACCTAATCCTATTCAATTTCTCAACTTTTATTTTAAAATTAATTTTTTTTTTTTTTTTTGTTTTTCCAAAATTTTTTTGCAATTTTTGATCCTGAGTTTTGGCGCCCCTAAAGGATGGCGCCCGTGTGCATTGCACACTTTGCACATATGGTAGCGGGGGCCCTGCTTAACATTGCCAACGCAGACAGCCTTTCTTGTCCCATAGTATTACGTAAAAATGTCTTAATTCTCTTCAATGTAGAGAAACATCGTTCGCTTTCAACAGTTGTCATCGGTAACTAGTGATTGAAACATTGGAAATATATGGAAATATATGGAAATATTGGAAATATATGAAATATTTAAAAAATAAGAAAAAAGGGGATATTTATTTATAAAAATCAAAACAAAATACTGCAAAACACAGAATGCTTATACATGAACACAAATAAAGAGTTATTCTTCAAAAAAATAAATAAAAATAAGGCCAAATTTGTACAAAAAAATCTTATTTTTGGCACACTACCCTACTCCCTACTCACTAGTTGAGCAAGAGGCATATCTTCATCGCTGTCATCAGCATCAGACTCAATAACATCTTCTTGCCAGTCTACTTCCTCAAAATCTTCAATTGTATCGGAAATAAAAATTGATCTATCTCCCTTTTCTATTTTCTTCAGCAAGTTTTCATTGTGGGATACATAGAGTAGCTTAGCGGCTCTGTCATTAGTGAGTCTGTTTCTCTTTTTTGAATGAATATGACTATAAACGCTAAAACTGCGTTCCGTGGCAGCCGAAGATGCTGGCATCATCAAAATTCGTGAAGCTACTTGTGATAATGAAGATGAAGAACACAGTCCCTTCCACCAGGAGACTGGATTATCAAATTTACTTTTCCATATGAAGTTATTTCCAAATAACTTGCCACTTCTACAACGGTAATCTGCTATTTCATCTATTATTTCTTGCTCCTCTATATTGAGTTTATTTTTTGATATAATAAGTATGCATTCTATGGCAGAAAGAATTTGTGTTCCATCAAGTTCAGAACCTTGTGATTTTGGATTTAGTAATTCTGCAGCATAATGAATGGGCTTAATAGCAAATTTTTCTCTTTTGTCAACAAACTCCAATAGTTCGGATTGTTCTATGTCGTCAAGTGAGGACAATGCAAGATTGTTCTGAATTACCCTTTTTATATCACGAAATGCTTTTACAGCAAAGTGAATAGTGCTATAATCTCCTTCTACAATTTTTAACCATTTGCCAATAGGTTCAAAAATGTTAATTAGGTTGGAAATTTGAGTCCAAAATACTTCGTCATCTAATATCCACTACTTAACATTTTTATCAATCATTTGTGTTGCTTCTTGGCTAACTGCAACTCCTTGTAAACTGAGCCTAGTGTTGTATACAGTATACACTTTTTAAACTGGTCAAAATTGAAGACCAGCGAGTTTTTACAGGCAATTGTATAGCCCCTGCATTTGGCTCTACATTTTTGTTTTCTGTTTGTTTTGTTCGTAAAAGTTCATACAGAATTTGTTTTGCCTTGATCTCTTTTGCAATATTTGTAACCTTATCGATTAGAGTCGATATAGTATTGATTTTAAGCAAATCATTACATAACAAATTGAGACCATGAGAAAGGCAACCATATGGAATGATATCATATTTTTCCTTTAGTATATTTCCAGCAAGTTGCATATTTTTTGCATTATCTGAAACGAACCCTAAGAATCTGTTTGGTCCGTATTTTTCAATTATCTTTCCCATTTCTTCGGCTATATACTGTGCAGTATGTCTGTGCAACTTAGTTTCGATAGAAGCTTCTAGCAGCGGTGATGGTGTAGTAATTATACAATTTATGACTCCTTGGTTTCGTATGTTGCTCCAGCCGTCGCTCTGTAGACCTAGAATTTCACTTTCATTGATTGTAGTTTCAACCTTCTCCTTTACTCGACTGAACTCTGCATCCAAACTTTTAGTTGACAGTTTATATCTACTTGGTAGTACAAAACTTGGACGAATCATCTTGAAGAGCTTTGCCCATTCGGCGTTCTCAAGGATGGACAACGGACAGTAACTGGCGTATATTGCACGAGCTAGTTGGGTTTCGATTTTTTCCTGTAAAAAAATATATGCTTAGTGTTTGCTTTCCTCACATTTTCTTTTGATACAGTCAATCTGTTAAATTTAGTGCGTCAGACTCAGACAGAACAGATTGATTGTACTGTATTTAAGTTATTGAAATTCTAATCCTGCATTTTATTTCTTAGAAATAATCTACGATACTTACTTGATCTTTTTTGGAAATTCGGTCAGCAAATTCATAAATACTTGTGGTCCTTGTGGAAGTAGCAGGTTTCATTAGAGAATTAGCAGCTTTAATGGTTTTATTCACAACATTGGAAGTAGATGGGAGCGGCATTTCGAGATCAATGTCAATACTGGAACTGCTAATAGAACTAGTACTAGCCTTACTAGCTGTAAAACTTGAGGTTGAAGGTTGTGGTAGTGGTATTTCTGGAGCTAACTGTTCTGATTCAGAGGCCATAACAGTGGAATTATCACTCAAAATGCTTTTATTTATCAACACACATTCATCGTCATTGTCGCTTGATGAGGCATTTTGTTCTTCGTCACGCTGCATGAACTTTCTTCTGATTTGGTAAGGACAGTTTTTACAAACTTTACTTAAATGTACCTTCATCCTGGACGCATTTTTGAAAAACGTTTTACTGCAATACATGCACTGGTAAATATTGTTTCCTTTAGAAATACAATACTTCCAAACAATGTCTCTTGTTTTCCCCATTTTAAAACTCACTATCACTAACCATAAACACTGTCAAAAAATCAAATAGACTTTCAAATCTTACAAAATATACTTTACACAATACACAACGTATAATATATAAAAGTATTTCCTAGTAACCCACTGAGGTTGTCGATCAGGGATTTCCCTACGAGTTCGGGACTTCCTCGTAGAAATGCGATGTTGCCAATAAGTTGGTGAATCCTCTAACTCGGTATATTCACTATATTTGTTTGTAAAATTAGTTCTATAGTAAGTTTAATGCTTTAGGGTTACAAAATATGAAAAATATATTAATAAACATCGCGTTTGAATCGTTCATGACAAGATTTAGGTATTTTTTAAATATTTCCAATATTCCCAATATTTCCAATATTTCCGAGACACGTTCGGAAATTTCCAATATTTCCATTTCCATGGAAATATTTCCTACGGAAATATTTCCATTTACAACACTATCGGTAACGTACATATGATAATTAACAATTTAACAGTTTCCGAAAAAGTAGCCCTAAGATTATTATTAATATATAATTGAAGCATTGGTACAGCTCCAGAACATTTATTGAAATCATCCCTTTAATAAATAACTTTTAGTTCAGTTTTAAGTTTTAAAAAATTGACACTAGAAAAATTTTGTTTTACTGATTTTAAAATATGTTCTGGAAAATTATCTTTGTATTGTTCAAACTGGTCGCTATAAAATAATTGAGCGATTACTAAATGGTCGCTAAAACTGAAACGGTGTTTAATTTCTGATGTTATTATGTCACAAACTTCCAAAGCGACTTGACGATTGGAGTCTCCATTTTTCCTTGGTCTTTTGGCATTAAGTGTGGAAGATGATGGCATTTCTGAAGATGTTTCATTCAATATTTTATCTCTGACATTTTGAATTGAAGTTGTAAATGAGTCTATGTAATTTTTTACTAATATCAGATCAATACCGCGTTTTTGGAGTTGATTGAAAAGAACTTCGCAATGGGGCATTATTAAATGGAAAAAGTTTAACCAATACAAAAAATCTACACTTTGCAAAAATGTCTTTAACCCAATCGCCTGTATAATTGTCAGTGGTGTAGCCAGCCTTGCGGGGCGGAAGGGGCAAACATATGAGGAGGCGCATAATTTAATTCTTTTGGAGGAGGGGGAAGGGGTAATAAATAAATGTTTGTATGATTTTGTACTATTTGCTTATTGGGGGAAAATATTGAAGATGAAAAGCCCGCCGGAGGCGAAAAATTTCCCCGGGTGCCACGCCCAAAAAAGTTTATTTTAAGCCTTCAAAAACAATTTTTTTTTGGGGTGCTCCAAAAAACATTTATGTATTAAAAGAAGTAATGTGTTGACATAACGTTAACTTAGAAAAATCCTCCCGGACGTCTCCGGACGCCTTGAAAATTAGAACAAATCCGTGGAAATCCGGAGGGATGATAGCTCCTAGTTTGATATAGTTATTATCCTAACAAGTGCGGAAAGTTATACTTTCCCGCACGTGAACTGTCGATACCCAAACGACGCGACGCGAAGCGGAGTTCGGGCAAGCAGTTAAGTGCGGGAAAGTTACTTTCCGCAAGAGTTAGGATCAAGATTTCTTCTACAAGCACACACTTTATATATTTTTGTTCAAATTTTATTCTAATAACAATTTTCAGTAAATTCTATACAGGTGTTCCAGGTATGCCGTGCGGGAAAAAGATAGTTTCCGAATTAAAATGCGTGCGGGAAAGTGGACAAAAACGCACGCTTGTAGAAAAAACAAATAAAAATACCTACCTACATTGAAATTCATAATAATTGTTTTTCAATTTAGTTTTTCATAAATTATTAGTGAAGTGGCAGAAAAAATCGGCGGTATACGGTACTTTTATTTTAACCACATCAATTATCAAAACAGAAACTCAAGTAACCTTTGATTGAACTGAACCATTTTGCCAATAATGCCAACTTACGATAAAGAATAAAGGATGGAGAGGTCAATAAAATAAATAATAAGAAACAGCATAATTTTATAATTTCTTGTTTTTGTTTTTTAAGAGCGGTAGGGGCGCCATACGTGTGGGGGCGGGGGGGGGGGGGGGGCGTCGCCCCCCCTGCCCCCCTACTGGCTACGCCACTGATAATTGTATTAGCATCTTCTTCAGTCTCAATTATCTTTTCTAGAGAAGCCAGAATATCAACCTGGTATAAAAACACAGTTTCCACGCAACGTGCGTTAAAATACCATCTTGTCGGTACAGCTCTAGGTAAGCGAACTTTGACAAATTCGTCGAGAACTGCTGTGCGTTTTGGAGAACGACTAAGTGTTCGGCGGTGGTACCTGGAGGAATTATGAACTTTATGAACCTCTCCTCTCATGAACAATCCCGGACAATATATACCGTATTATAAAAGTCATTTGAGTCTTATTGGAGCTGTCAGTAGTTTCGTCCACCTGGACGGCGATATATTCGGCTGACCGAATTTCAATTTTAATTTGTTCTTGAGCCACCGATAACATTGAATCAAGTAAATAATTTTGCACAGTTTTGGATGTACCCTTGAAAACTGTAGCCTTATCTAGGTATTCTTTGAATATCGGATCCACCTCTGAAACGAAGTTTATGAGTCCTCGAAATATTCCTGGATTTTCAGACGATTCCGTCTCGTCATGTCCTCGTAAAGCTAACTCAAACGCGCCTCAAAATTGTACACACTCTATTATTTTATTTAAGATATATCGGTTTTTTGACACATTTTCGTTAAAAACCCCAATTGATTGTCGATAAGCATATCTAACTGAGATCGAATATCGACACTACCGATTGTAGCAAAACTCACGGCACTTTTCATGTGGTTTGCTGATAAACAATGTTTTTTAACTTTGTCTTTTAAATGCTTCAAGTCTTGGACACCGGTTTTACACCATAGACTATAGAGAGTCATTTGAAAAAATAAGGCAGACAAAACAGTAAAATGCATCACTTACTTCGCACCCGCATATCCAGTCGGAAAAATCATACATAGTCCTGCGAAAATTCGGCTGTCCCAATTCAAAACGCAGTAACAACACTTCGATAACGTGGAAAAATCGAATTTAATGATAATTTTCGAGCGCCACGAAATAAATGGAGATATTGCTTCAATATTTTTAAGGGTAGTCAGGTATAACCTGAGCACTCTTTTTATCATAGTTTTAAGAAGATAAACCCTTAAAACAATAGTTCGGCAGCTGCAAAAAAGGTTTTGCATGGGATTTTTTTCGAATAAACAACATAAGTTTGTGTCAAAACACAGTAACTGCCTTCTCATGTAATTTTTTTTTCTAATGAATTTGATAATACTTCATCAAAACACAGTAATTGCCTTTACTATGTTTTGTAACAGAAAACTAGCATAAAATATTAAACTCTTTAAAGCAGTTAACATCCATTACTGTATTTTGAACTCAAAATAATACATACTCCATTTTTTTTATTTTATAAACAAAACACAAGAAAAACTTCTGAAGGGTACCAAGTTGATAAAACTCAAATAAGATAATATTACAATCAGGATATTCAAACATCAGAATCTATTTCTTCCCCTACTTGCTCAGCATCAACCAAGTCCACGGATATTTCGGATTCTGGCATCGTTTCCCAAAACACCCTTCTGTTGGTTGGCATAAGCGGTACTAGATCTTTCAAGATTTTTGCTTTTTTGGAGGCTGAAATGCCACGAGAGGACAAGGCTTGTGGTGTGAAGGTCATAGGATTGTGCTTCTTCTGTATGAAATCCAACTCTATATATTCATCTGCAAAATCTTTTTTATATTGCATGCATTGGCTTCCTTTTTTGAAACAAACATCAACAATTTCATTCAATAGAAAACCCTTTAATGGATCCGCTGCCTTTTTTGTATTTTTTTTTTTATTTGGCCACAAGTGGAACTCTTTTAATTGCAGAACTTCTAATTTCCTTCTGGATGATTTGACAGCTTCTATCAATTCTTGAAAATCATATATGTTTCTCTTCCTCAAGAGTTTCTGCTCGATATTACCATGGATACCATCTGCACTCATATGAGTATGGCCTTTGGTGAGATAACGAATGGTAATTTGATTTGGACCAGTTACACGATTAACTTCAGTAAAAAGTGATGTGTACAAAACCCATTTTTTGTTCTGGGCGCTACAATTATCAGACCAAAATATAAAATCCGTAGCATCCCTTTCTTTCTCGATTACTTTGAACATAGCATCAACAAGAGCCTCAGCTTTACGACCACCTAATGCTTCGTGCCAGAGCACACAGTAACTTTGATTAGAGGATTCCTTGCTCAAAGTGGCGAACGTTTGATTGAAAACAACAAGTCGACTTGTAAAAAAGGCGGTCTTGCTTTGAGGCATGATGGGCAAAATAATAACTTTCTGTAAATCCATGGAGTAAATCCGTTTATTTGTTGAACCTGCTTCTGCTGCTTCGTCCGAATTCTTTTTATATTCTAAATTTGCTTTTGTAGCTTTAGCACGGTGAGAGTCGTATTGATTTTGGATGATTTCATTTTCACCATTTTCCAAAATGTTTTTCAGGGACGAGCAGTCTTCACAGACATCCGATTTTGGTTGGCGAAGAGAAATATTCATTTTTTTTAAAGGCCTGTCTGTAAATCTCAATTTTACATATATTTGGATGTTTCGAAACAAAGTCATCGTACATGATTTTAATAGTGAGCTCTCTAGGTAAATATCTTACGTTGGGGGCATTCTTTCTTCTATAATGGCTCACGCAAGGTTTAAATGACTCAATGTGGTTTTTTATTATATCTCGGTCAGCTTCCGGCCTATGACTTCCACCCCTACGCTCCTTAACCTGATCACCGCAAGGGCCTGATTTAATTGCTGCAACTAATTCGGTTATTACTGAATCAGTAGTATATCCTAAAGTATTTAGGAACGTTAGTCTGCATACTACGAGCAATTTCAGTTGAATCTGGAAGTGGTAGAGTGAAATACCTTGATTCCGATCTTGAATGTTGAGCTGTCATACTTTTTCGTTTTACTGGAAGTAACGTTACATGTTTACTTAACCATTTACGTCTACTTGTGTAGTCCAAATTTCAATACTGGTTCCAAATATCATGACGATGTTCTTCTGTTAAGCTTTTACACAGTCTTCTACATTTTCCGTTACAAATGGCTCTCATGGGATGTTTGTTTTTGTCTCTCTCGATTTTTTCTATTCCTACTAGTCTTCGACCAGGTCTTTTTAATTTTCTAGTATTTTGCCTCTCTCTTTCTTCATTTTCTTGTACCTGACCATTGTCATTCTGCAAAAATATACCACAATCAATTTCTAAATTTGAAAATGAAAATAAATATATTACCACTAAATCGGGTGTCTCAAGTTCTGGTGCTTTATTAGATAAGTTGCCAGCTTCCGTTTCATTTTGCTCATCTCTTTCTCCATTGTTACTTCTTTTGTCATTCTAGAAAAACGTATTTATAAATAAACAGAAAACAGTAATACTTGAAATTAAATAACTTACCACTGGAGCAGCATTATCAATTTCGAGGACTTCACCACTGGCTTCCATTATCCTCGGAATATCGTTAGAGCAAGAGGTAATTTCATTGGTGTCCTAAAATCAGAAGTTTAAATAATAATAATAATAATAAATTACCTTGTAGATAATCATTTCGATATCAACCTACTATTGGTTCAGGAGTGGCGATTTTTCCTCCGAACTGTGATCTTTTCACCTTTCTTTTTCTACTTTCAGATTCTACAATGTTATCATCGTATTCGCTGTCGCTGAGTTCGTAATCTTTGTCCAGGTCGCTATCATCTACAGGGCTTTCAAGATAATCCTCACATGGAAAAGCAGTAGAGACAAATGTCTGTAATCTATCTAAGTACATTTCTTTCTGTTTTTCACTTTCATACTTGCTCGTAAAAAATGATGAAGTTTCATACTTAACGATTGGGAAAAGTGGTAATTCGTCGATTTTCTAGAAAGTATTTGTGAATCAAATTGAATATATATCCGTGTATAATTCTATTTACCTTTTCAGGATAAGA